AAAAAAAAAAAAAAAAAAAAACTGGGGTTTTGCCTTATAGTCCGGGGGGGCTCATAGTTCGGAAAAAACGGGCTAAAATCCTTCCTGGATTTTTTTCTGTGAAGAACCCAGAGAGGGTTATTTGGTTATTATTTATTTCATTAATAGTGTTACTTATTTCCTGACTTTTGTTCTGTGAATAACCCTGAGAGGGTTATTTGATTGTGCTTTCTGGAAAACAATACATTTTTACATTTAGGCACTCCTGCAATCGTCACACTTTTTCTGTTACAAACTGACTCCGGCCCCCCACCAGAGAAGGAAAAAGTTATGTGGCCCTCGCAGAAAAAAGTTTGGGGACCCCTGACTTAAACAATATCAATATAATAAAGGCAATACAAACAAAGAACGAAGTAAATCTGTCATTCATCTAAGAAAAAATCCACCCATCCATCCATTTCTAACACCCTTGACTCTTGTGGGGTCTGGAAAGTTGCTGGTGCCTATCTCCAGCTAACCTTCCGGGCGAGAGGCGGGGTACACCCTGGACAGGTCGCCAGTCTGTTGCAGTCTATAAGAAAAAATAAAAATTAATTTTTAGGTCCCCCTCACTACTGTTAGAACAGTGGTTCAGGAGGAGCAACAGCAGCGCTGCTAAATGGCACAGGCTGCTTTAGAGCCGCTGAAGTGAGGAGCTAGGTGTTAGCTGCAGCTCTGCACCACTAACCAAAAACCTTCCAGTAAGTAAATACTTTAAGCAAAAAGACATGTAACACGTTTTATTTACTTTCACTGCTCAATGGGAAGAAACACATTGACAATAAAAATCAGTCCACAGTTCGTTATTTCATTACTTTGACTGAATCATGATAAACTGCCACCTTATGCCTTGAAAATCAAAACTAGCAAAACTGCTACATTGCTTTCATAGACTTGGCTCCTTTTTCTGTCGAAGGTAGCCAATATTTCAATTATATTTAGCTCTCTAACCCTTACTTTAATAAGAAGAGTTTGAAATGGGAGGGAGCGGCTGAGCGTTACCACCAGCCGACAGCTCTGTATGGGAGCCGAGAGCAGGGGATTGCAGCTGATGGTAAAAAAACATAATAATAATAATAATTATGCCTTTATTTCTTACCATCTTCAACGTAGAGCCTTTAAAACCACAAAATAAAATTGAATATTTTTCTAGAAAACTCTGGTGCTGACCTTTAAGTTTGATACTTCCCAGATATTCAACTTCTACATATTTATAGGTTCTCAGCCATCCAGGACATGAACCCCCCCTCCCCACCCCAAATAAAATAAAATAAAAGTTTAAAGCAACTTAAGTTATAATTTAAATAACACATGACTTGTATTGAGAACCACTGCAATAAATCAATATTTGTGAGGAATTTTATTAAGTGGAGTTACTTATTAAAACTTGTTTTTAGTCAGAGCCTTAAATTTTTGTAAAGGTGTAGCGGAGATTAGATGAACCAAACTCATATTTATGCAACATTTGAATCTTAGTTTGACTTCTATGGGTCTCAGCAGGTTGTTTACCGAGAAAAACACTTTTGTTATTCATTGCTACTTACTAGTCATTTTTGGTCCTGCAGCTTGAATACACACACAAAAAAAATTAAACCACATTTTACGTTACATTTTACTGTAACTTTGCCGACCCCCCCAAAATTGCTCTTAAAAAATGTCCCTGTTTATGGTCCCTCCCAATAATGAGATGGGATTTACACCCTTGACTGCTAGGACTGATCTAAGAGCAGCATTTGATGTGACACAAACTCTGAAGTCGAATGTTTTGTGGATTAAACATGATGGTCAAACAGGAGTCTGGCCTAGTGAAGAATTTTATGTCAGCAAAGCCATTGCTATGGAGGGAAATACAGCTGAAAGGAAAATGAGCAGAGCATGGAACCAAACAAGTATAGAGACACAGAAGACCCCATGGTGACAAATGAGAAAAATACTAAGAGGAAATCTAATTGTCTTTTAAGTAAAATTTGAATGCAACAAGATCTACAGTTAATTTCACAAGTCACCATCATACAAGTTACCTACGAAAGAAGTAATAAATAGTTATAATTAAAATTTTGCTACAAAATATTGGGATAAAACTGTATGTTCATATCATCCAGGCTTACTTACAAATATATATCAAATAAAATATGGTATATTCTATTGTACATTCCTGTTACAATGCAGATCTTAAATTCTTAAGTTTGAGTTTCAGCAGGTTTCACTTGGTGATAGCATGAGATAAGTGTGGTGCTCTGACACACAGGGTGTTTCCCATCCTCTGCTGCTGGTTTTCATGTTTATCTCCCAGCATGGAATGTAAGCCAGCCCCATCCCTGACGTCTCCACTCATTTCTGCCAGCTTCCTCCCTGAACAGGGCGCCTCGGGTCAGGCAGCCGTGCCCCTGGAGGGGCTCGGGACTCGAGCAGAGCCGGGCCGGCCTCTACCTCTCTCTGCCCGTGTACCTGCGCCACAGGGCCAACCGGACCCGCTCAGGTATCGGGGCCGGACGCCCGAGCGGCTCACCGGAGCCCCTTGACCCCATCCCGTCATCTGAGTGTTAACTCCATTCATCCACCCGCTGATAATTCAGCCCCCCCCCCCCCATCGTTGAACTAATGTTTTCTACATAAAGAATGGCCTTGCATGGAAAACGCTAGAATGAAGTGAATGTCCTACTTAATTGAGCTGTAACCATGACGAGCTGTGAACTGTGTAGCTCTTGAACGATCATCACCTACTCACTCAGCTGTTAGTTCAGTAGTTTTGTTGCTTGTCGTCGAACTAACCTCACCAGTCGCTTCTGCATCTTCACATCCTGAATGGTTTCCTTCACTTCTTCACACTTTAATAAGTTTTTGTTTTTCTTTGTTTATTTTCCTCCACAGCTGAGTTCTCTCAGGCCAGCGGCAGCGTGATCACCGTCATTGCTCCTGCTAAACGCTCCCCACCAACCCCACCCATAAGGACGACCGCCATCAAGCACTACTCTGTAGACCCCATCCTCCCCACTCAGGTTCCAGAGCCACCCTCTGTTAACACCGCGGCACCTCCTGCCTCTCCTAAAGGTGGAAGCAGTGAGGACAGGATGCACGTGACTGTCCCCCAGAGGACGGTGGAGACCCCGCTCCCACTGCCCGCCCACATACCCCCATCTCCTCCCAGGGTGAAGGTGCTCCCTCCACCTCCCACCTCGCCTGCTGCGGACGTTCCAGTTACCCAGACGGACCCCCCCACCCTCACCTCGGAGCCGCCCGGCCAGCCTCTGGCCGTCCCGCTGCACATCCTCATCAAGAGAGCTCTGAACAGCCCTGGTGCACCCCAGCCCAACCCTGAGAGATTCCAGAAGGCCCACTCAATGCTCTTTTTTCCCCCAGAGGACCCTGAAGAGGTGCCGCAGAACTTGCGTCACTCCCTCCCCATCTCCATCGAACCTCTCAGGCTGTAAGTAACCGTCAATCTCACTGGTACTCAGATGAAGATCTGGGTTTGAAACGGTTCTGGGTTTTTTATTTGAATGGCTTTTTAAATGGTAAAGAAATTTATTGCAGAAACTGGACGTTTTTCTGTGAATCAAATTAAAATGGTCATTTTCCATTTCATTATTATTATTTTTTTATTTCACTCTCTCAATAATAAATATGAATAATTCAGGGTTTCCCCCAGAAAACCAGCTAAGCCCGGTGGTAGGGGCATTAGTGGGTTGCTGAATGTCATCCAGCAACTCACTGTGTTTGAGTTAAAAATGTTTAAAGTTCACAGGAAATTTGAAAATATCATTAGGTAATTATGTGTTATTGGAGGACATTTTTAGCAATGTCTAAACACCAGGAAAAGCCAAACATAAAAAAATACACATAACGTAGAAATAATGTTTTTGAACTTCAGTTGTTTCATTCTAATTAAAGTGTCCAAACATTGTTTGGTCTTGTATTAATGACTTGTCACTTTATTTGTTGAAGTTGTTAGCATGTAAAGACAGGCAGTGGTTATGGAGTTCTGGTGAATAGGAAGGCTTATATGGTTAAATGAAAAATCTGCAGAATGTGAGTTTTTTTTTTTTATACGATTGATTAGTTGTCAGAATAATTGATTACTAAATGACCATAAGTTTCAATTCTAGTATGTGAAATCCGTCAGAGTAGAAAGGGAATGGAAACGATCTTCATCATGTGATGCGGTTGTCTTTCCAGGCCAGAAGATGATGACTTTGACATGGAGGAAGAGCTGCAGAAGGTGAAAGCTCAGCGGACCCCCCAGCAGCCAGAGCTGGAACCCCGCAGCAGGAGGGGCCTGATTGGAGACCCCAGGGTCACAGTTATACCCGAACAGGGCGGCCACGAGGACGAGGATGACTCCGACTCCGATGGGCCCATCCACTACAGAGACGACGAGGAGGAGGAGGACGACGAAGAAGGCCCTGCAAGTAAGCTGCACTGTTGCATTTAAAGGGGCAGCATCATGTTAAATCATCTTCATTGAGCTTTCCATCATGTTATAATGTTATTTCCTCATCAAAAACATACCTGGAGTGTTGCATTGATTCTTTCAAGAATATATATAAAATAAAAAAAATCCTTTAATCTCCATGGCAACCATTCAGCTGTGAAAAACGCCTGGGTGAACCTAGCCCCGCCTTTGAGACGCAGCTCCTCCTCAGACCTGTAGTTTCCAAGCTTCTGAGTTTCCTCCTCACAGAGCAGCCCTCTCTGACGATGGCCCCACTCAGCTCCTTCAGACTAGCCAGCAGCAATTAGCAAACACTTGGTAGAACTTTCCCAGCAAGTGTTAGTTTTCTGTTGCAGAAATACATGAACCCATGTTGTGACTGAATGTTTTTAAGGCTGTTCTTACTGAGTTTCAGACGGAATTATCTGTCTGGAAATGTTTTGACTGAGGAATCTTTTAATTGATGTACTTATGAAGATTCTAGTTTTTCTGTTATCTCTGTGTGCTTCCTCCAGTCTTGGTCAGGATTATCTTCCAAAAGAGATTTTAAATCTCAATGTAGTGAAATAAAGGTTAAGTAAAAAAAAAAAGAGAAGCATTTCTAAAGAGACAGAGACCCAATTTAAAGTAAAATTTAATTCAAGTTCATATTTGTAACAACTGAAGGTAATGTAGTTACTTGTTTGTGCTATAAAATGACACTATGTGCCTGGAAATCACATAATACTGTCCCTTTAAAGAAAAGGGCAGTAAGCCCCTATATATAGTCCTGTAACAGCCACGCCTGGTCTCCACTCCTGCCTGTATTAATACGGGGGTCTGGTGTCTGACAGGTGGGCTGGCAAGCCGTGTGAAGAGAAAAGACACACTGGCTCTGAAGCTGGAGAGGCAGGAGAAGCATGAGCGAGAACAGAGGGAAGGCCAGGAGAACCAGGAGGGGATGACCTGGAACAACAGGGAGCAGTGGGTGGCTGTGAGGAACAGGATCGGCACCACGCTCACACGGTAAAACACACACACACACCCGCGCACACACACATACCTGCCTCTGCCACAAGACACTGAAGTTATTTTCCCTGATTCCATTTGTTATTCCACTCCCCTTCCCCCACCTCAGAGATGCACTGCACTAATGTTGCATTCTTCACTGATTTGACAGATAAACTCACTTACTGTACAACTGACGGATAAATATGTTGCTTATCTTCAGGCGGCTGAGTCAGAGACCTACAGCGGAAGAGCTGGAACAGAGAAACATTCTTCAAGGTGAGACTCACTTTGTCTGTCCTTCACATTACAGTTACATATGTCATCTGCAGAAAAAGATCAGTTCCTCAATGACTTCTTAAGTTTCATAGTTTCATTTTTTCCTCCCAGTTTACCCTTCATTACCATTCTTTTGGTAATATTAAGTACGAAAATATCAGATTTCTTTCAATCAGTGAATTTATTAGTTGTTCTAAGTCAGTGTTTCTCTAATCCTGGTCCTCACCGCCCCCCTGCTCTGCATGTTTTAGATGTGCCTCTATTCCAGAACAAATGATTGCATGACCATCAAGTACTGCAGAAGCCTGTTAATCACCCACAGATACAATTCAGGTGTGTGGCTGAAGGGAAATACCTAAAACATGCAGGACAGGGGGGCGCTGAGGACCAGGGTTGAGAAACTCTGGTCTAAGTATAGTGACTGATGACACTCTTTGATATGAAGAGTGAAGGCGAGTCAAAATGAGCTGTTCTTTACCAGAGGGTCAGGATGTAACCAGGGGGTCCACGAACATTTAAGAAGTCTGAAATTCATGTTTCTGAAATTAAAACCTTAAGATGTCTTGAATGTGACTTGTTGAAACCTGCAGATCACTAAAGTATCTGTACATGCATAAATCAGTTTCTAATGTCACAAGTCGCTGTTTTCACTGTTTTTGTCAAAAAATAAATACAATTTCATTCAGCTGACAAAGAAGGTTCCGATTTACTGTCAATAATTAATAATGATTTTTGTAAATGTGTTTAAAACAAGAAAGCCACTTGAAACGTCAGTGTTGTTTTTAGAAGTTTGTCGTAAGACTGCGTTGACTTTTAATACTACAGAAATGCTTAAATCAATTTGAGTTGTAGTGAAAGATAGACAATGAAGTGTACAAGTTATACTTGAACGTCTGGAGCCCCGTCAACACACCAGTGTGAGGTTGTGTGGACCTCTTCTTATTCATGACTCCAGATTCACAGATTTTTCTGAGGAAAGTCAATCCCAATTTATTCAGACTTTTTCTTGGAGTATAGCTAAAATATTTGAAAGAAATTGCAGCTTGAGAATCTGAAATGCCTCAGAGTAATGCAGCTTGTCACGCTACTGGCTGCTGTTTGCAAAGCAGCCAATCCAGGAGCGCCATCTCCTTTTCTTACTGCTGATTGGCTGTTCACATTGAGTTGTATTTGATGTTTGAACTACTACAAAAGGAAATTACGAATGTCTTTTGTTAAAATATATTCCGATATTAAGATTTAATATAGGTGAAATAACTTAGAGCAATCCTACTTGACACTATTGTGTTTTTTTTAGCATTGTTACGCTGAACTCCAGCATCATTCCACTGATTAAGAGTTGCTTCTCTTGCCTGGAGTTGATGCTGGGTGGGAAACAAGGTGTTTAAAGTTGGACAGACTGGAGCTGTGTGATGTCGGGTAGCATCAGGTAGAGCTCCAGTCAGGACAGGCGCAGACAGGCTGTGGAGAAACACAGCTGAAAGGAAAGTGCTGTTCTTCCCACAGGGAGGTTGGTGCTGAAATAACACGCATCTCTGATCATGTTTAGGAGAACGATTAAAGCTGTTGGAAAATGCTTGTGTAAAATCAAACTACTTCAGATGCAGTTTGTTTAGTCATCAGAGTCCTGCTCCGAGTCAGAGTAAGCTCAGCCTCGGTGTCCGTTTAGCTGGGATCAGAACAACATGGCTCCTTGTGCAGAGCTTGGCAGTGCTTAAAGAGCTCCATTATGGCAGCGGCGGACAGCAGCTCAGGTGAAGCCTCCCTGACTGGCTGCTCTGTTTTCCCCTCTCATGAAACGTCTTCCCTTTCCACAGCCAAGAACGAAACGGATCGACGGCTGGAGCGATCCGAGATCAAACGGAGGCTCACCAGAAAGGTGGGGGACATTCAGCGATTGTATGTTTGGCGAGTATTCTCCTGAACTTGATCCCTAAAACCTCCTTGTTCTTCTGCTTTCAGCTGTCTCAGAGGCCCACGGTGGCTGAGCTGCAGGCCAGGAAGATCCTGCGTTTCCATGAGTATGTGGAGTCCACCCACGCCGAGGACTACGACCGGAGAGCCGACAAGCCGTGGACCAAACTCACTCCTGCTGACAAGGTGAGACTCTGTCTGCCCACAGCAAGTGCCTGAGAGAAGCCTCATGTGACGGTCAGGTGTTCAAGAAGCAGCCACCTGATAGTCCGGTAGACTCGGTTCCACTGGGACCAAAACTACATTTATTCCATTTCCAGCTGCTGTGGTTCTCTCTCTCACTTCTCTGAGTTATTCCAAACCCTTTGAGCAACCTGTTCCCCCTCCTTGCCTGTGGGGGTGCTGCACCAAGAATCCTCGAAGGAAATGAAACAAGAACCTCTGAAGAAGAAACTAAGCAAAACTGCCTTCTTCACAAATGGAAACAAAAATGGGGTAGTGTCAGATTGTACTTGTTGGAGGATTTCTCTTTTGATAGCAGACCATGACCCATTTCTCCTGATAGCGCTAGACTAGTGGGTTTGTTTTGATTGTATTTACCCAGAATGCCATGCGCTGTCATTTGCTCCCTGCTTTTGGGACAGTTTCTTGTCCACATATCAGACTGTCCATGCATCCTTAAAAATATTTCAAACTTCATGTATCTAAAATGAAGGGCTTGTAGAAAATCCAAGTTGTCTTTAACTTGGTCTTAAACTTTGTCATAGCAGGATTATTGTTTGTTTGTTTGTTGTTTTTTTTTTTTCCAGAGGGTTTTTCTGTCAGACAAAAGTTTGAGCCGCAGACATCTGCGTTCAGTGACTCGAGGTGGTTGAGGCTACTGCTATCTGCTAAAAACCTTTGCTACCTAGCGTTTTTGTGTCCATCATGGATAAGTGCAAACTTATCCCCAGTTAGCTGGATAATGTTTGTTTTCACTACTGGCTCACCTCTGTTGACAACTCAAATGAGGCTTTTTGCATTCTGTACAAAAAACAACTTTGAAGTTTGGCACTACAGGGGTTTGTGTGATGCTTGATTGCAGGATCATCCTTCTATCTCTTATATATTAAGTTTTTTGTCTTAAAGTTTATTCAATGTTACATTATAAATGTCTTAAAAAGTCTTAAATTTGACTTGCTGAAACCTTCATTGTGAAAAGCAAGTGTTCAGAATCATGTCCAGAAGGTTCTGATCCTGTGTGTTCCTGCCAGGCCGCCATCCGCAAGGAGCTCAACGAGTTCAAGAGCACAGAGATGGAGGTCCATGAAGACAGCAGGATCTACACCCGGTGAGGCCGCCGCACACACCCACGTTCACTGGAGTATCAGTACTGTTGGCCTGGCTAAAGTATTCATACCCACGTGAACTTTTTCACCTTTTTACACAGCCTAATGTTTTATTAGGATTAGATGTGACAGAACAGCACAAAGTAGTTAGTCATTGCAAAGTGGAGGGAACACAATACATGGTTTTAGCATCTACAGGCCAAGAGATTTAACTTAAAATGCTCTAAATCAGGGGTGTCCGAAGGGACTGACTTTGTGCAGCGACTCAAACTTCCCTTCACGACAAGTGGTTGATGCCAATGGAGACCTTACTTAGTTACAGATGGATTATAATCTTACAATAGAAATATTGACTACAGCAAAAGTACCTGATAAGCAGGCTTTATCCGTCACATCAATCGAGCTTTACTGCATCCAGATCTGATTTTAATGGACTGATCAAATTTGGCTACATACAAGAGTGGCCTAAATCTTGTTTTTATTGCTTAAAATTGATAAAAATGTTTTATGAATTTCAGTTGAGACCTTTAATAATTCACAAAATAAATCCCTTTTTTAATGAGGCATAGCTGCAAAACACTTAACATTCTGGGTTTACAATAATTTACACATCCCTTTCTAACAAAATAAATACTGTTTTATACACTTAATCAAAGTGATGTATCTTGGTTTATTATTGTATAGGTCAGGGCTCACCAACACGGTGCCCGCGGGCAGCTGGTCGCCCGCAAGGACCACATGAGTCGCCC